CGACCCCTCTGCAGCTGCTGCCGTGTGATCAGGCCACTGTCACCCACCGGGATCACTGTCACCCACCGAGGTCACTGTCACCCACTGGGATCACTGTCACCCACCGGGTCACTGTCACCCACCGAGGTCACTGTCACCCACCGGGATCACTGTCACACACCGGGGTCACTGTCACACACCGGGATCACTGTCACACACCGGGGTCACTGTCACCCACCGAGGTCACTGTCACCACCTCCCAGCTGGGGCATCCTGGCCCTCTGGGCATCGTCCCAAGGGGCTGAGAGACCCCACAAGGCCACAGGAGGAGTGACCATAGCAGGACAGTGACCCAGCAGACAGTGACCCCAGCCCTCTTGTCCTGAGTCCACCCTCTCAAGGTCACATTGCTTGAACAAAAAGGGACCCGGAGCCCTTTTTGGGACTTTCCCTACAGGACAAACGGCCCTGGCACCACCGGCCACCAGAATGGGATGTGGAGGATGTGAGACTTAAAGAGCTGGGCCCTAAGGGACCCCTGAGCAGTCCCCAAGACAGCAGGACCACCCTGGGGACAAACGTCCCTCTCCACCGATGGCTTCACCGCAGGATTTGGCACTGGTGAACAGCACTGGGTTCATTTGGCTCAGTTCAGGGACAAACCAGATTCATCCACCTGGGATGAACTCCTCATCTTCCTTCCCATCACCACTGACCCCTGAGCATCCCCCAAAGCACATCCCTCCCTCCCAGCCTGAGCTGCAAACCCTCAGCTCACCCCCCACCCGATGCCACTCTCTGATCCCTGTCACCAAAATCCTTTGGGTTCCCAAATTAAGGACAAGAAAATAATAGTTTGGGGGTTCAACATTTTGTGATGGGCCTTGGCAGCTTCTCCTGGGATTCAAGCTGGTTCTGAGCCTGGGAACCCCCCCTGCCTTCCCCCACATTTCCTCATTCCCAGTATTTTTATTACCAAATGAAGTTAAATACATGGAAATGCTGTAAATATTAAAGTGTGTTCCCCACTTCCCAGTGAAGACAAGGAATTTAATTCATTCACTAAACCCACATGAAGGTGATTTGTTTGCTGCAGGTGCTGACAGAAAGCAGAGCCAAAACCCCTGGCAACACTCAGGAAAACATCCAAAGATGATGGAGTGGAGTCCAGCACACCCCAGCCCAGGAATGGAGAGGCAGGAGACAGAGGGATCCAGGTGGAATTTCTTTATTTACACTGCAGGAGGCTCCCTCCCGGAGCTACTTGAGCGGGATGAAGCGGGAGGAGTGGGTGGCACCGATGCCAGGCCGGCCGTGCTTCACCGGCTTGTACGTGATGGAAAACTCGCCCAGGTAGTGGCCGATCATCTCGGGCTGCAAGGGGACAGATCCGTGCTGGGGACAGAGCTGGGGACACGGGGACATCCCCCTCCTGTCCCCATCCCCATCCCAGGGCTGCCAGGAGCCTGGCACAGCCGGTTATTCCAGCCCTGCTCCTCCCCTGGTGCCTCGATGGGCTTCCCCAGCTCTGCCCCTCCTGGGGAGGTGACAAAGGAGCCACAGGGGCATTGTGCCCTTCCAGGTGGGATTTAATGCCAGGTAGGAGCAAGAAAATGGCACTTAATCCCACTGGTGGGATCAAGTGACAGCACCCCATGGGTAATTCCACTCCTGGAAGGCTCAGGGATCTGTTTCATCCCCAAGCAGTGCTGGCAGGCTGGGCTGAGCACAGGGATCACTCCACAGCCATTTCAGTGCTTCAGAGCCACACTGAGCCCCAGTGGGAGCTGGCCCTCCCTGGGATGACACCTCCAGGTGTTCCTCTGAGCCAACCTCGCTCTGAGGAAGAGCCAGGACCCCTCCAGACACAGGGAACGAGCAGGATTTACAAAGAGTTACAGCGAACACTCCAGACACTGAGCTCAGCGCCAGAGCCCCCAGCTCACCTTGATCTCCACCTGGTTGAAGGTCTTGCCGTTGTAGACGCCCACCATGCTGCCCACCATCTCGGGCAGGATGATCATGTCCCTCAGGTGGGTCTTCACCACCTCGGGCTTCTCCATGGGCGGCGCCTCCTTCTTGGCCTTGCGCAGGCGCTTGAGCAGCGAGTGCTGNCAGGTGGAGCCTCCGAGCGGCTCCTGCGCCCGCCCCGGCCCAGCTCCGCCCCCAGAACAAACAGCAAAATACACTCAGCAGGTTTCTGTCAACTCCCAGAGTTTCAAACCCTCCGCCCCAGCACTGCCGCGGGGAGGGAGGGAGGGAGGGGCTGCAGCTCTTCCCCCGCCTCCGACAGCGCTCACGGAAACCCTGTTTTAAATTAAAAAATAAGCCAGCATACATAGTAGAAAATTTCTCTTAAAAATTTCACAATCTGTAAATGTATATATTTTTTTTTCTTTTAAACATAAAAGTTTACAATATACGGTAAAACAAAGGCTCAGGAAAAATAATTTCAAAAAAAAGAAACCTGAAGTTTTGAATTAAAGCTGAAGACATTTTTAAAACCCTGTAATTTGAACCAGTGACATATTCTTTATTTGTGCTGATGGGTTAGAGAAAGGAAAATCTTTAAAAACTGCAGTCCAAACACCCACAGCTCTGCCTTCAGAAGCCATCTGCCCCCAACCCCCGCCCTCCCCCTGAAGAAAAAAAAAAAAAAAAACTGTTGTTAGGTTTTTCTTCCATCAAGTAATGTGATTGTCACAAGTTCAGAAGTCTGGGATCCCGGGCTTCAGCTGGGCCCAGAGGTCCCTGCGGGCAGCACTCACTCCCTGATTGGCAGCCCAGGCTAGCGCCGGTAGGGGTGGAATCCTTGCACGTTGTGGTTCTGTCCCCGCCCGAAGCCGCTGCCTCCTGCCGGGGGGCCGCTGGAGGGCGGCACCGAGGGGCCTCCGTAGGGAGGGGGCTGCTGGCTGGGATCAGAGAAACCTTGGCCAAACCCACTCAAGTCTTGTCCATACCCTGGGGAGAAGGGAAAGGCACAGGATGAGTTTC